GTCTGGGACTGATGCCTGGGTGGGGAGAGCCGGCGCTCCAGGCCGGCAGAAGAGGCCGCGGTATATTCGTCAGGAGTCCCAGGACGTGGGGGTGGTCCCCTGAGACGTGTGCTTCGTGCCCGGGCCTCAGGGGGCGTGGGAGTTGCTGGTGGGAGGCAAGAAACAAGTTCTGGCTGCTGGTGGGCCCACTGCCCAATGCACATGCCCCGGGGAGTGAGAGCCCGCGGACGGGACGCTGCGTGGCTGTGCCTGCAGGCGGCCCTGCGCATGTTTACAAAGCCCGAGCGGTGGACAGATCTCTTGGGGGTTGGTCTGGGACTTCCTCGCTGGTTAAACTCCAATTCTTAGTCAACGACTGCCAGCTGTTTTGGAATCCAACCCATCCAAAGTCTGATCTGCCTGGAACCACAGAAGTCAGTGCCTGGGGGAGCCCAGGACACCCGTGCTCCAGCGGCTGCCAACTGCTCACCATCCATCATGATCCCCATCTCGCCTCCCGCACATTTTCAGTGAAATCTGTTCTTGTATGTCCTCTCATCCCCAGGAATGAACAGTGACCACCTACATCGCTGCACAGCATGACGGGGACACGGGAGGGCTCTGATCAGGCATTGGGGGCTGGGTTGGCTCCACATAAGTGGAGAAGCGTGTGGAGTATGAGGGCATCTGGGGGCCCGCGTTCTCCCCCTGGCTGATGTCAAAGAGGCCTTACGGAAAGAGACAGGACAAGTGTCCTCACTGAGGGAAGAGTCTGTGTTTTCTAAGACGCGCTGGCAGGTGGCGCTGCTGGATACAGTTTTAGGATAGAACGTACGCTAAGATAAGGCAGGGAGTTTTCAGGCCAACGCTGTGTGACTTTGCTAGAGATCCTTCGTTAAAGCACAGGCAGGGCTCAGCTGACAGTCCATGTGCTGTTCCAATCTCACAGCATGAGGCCTAAGTGAGGGTGACTCTGTGCCTGGGCACATCCGGGGATGGGCAGTGGGGCAAACCTGGTGCCTGGGGACCTCCCTGGCTGTTCCAAAGCAGCCGACCAGGCACTGCCACCACCGTGCGCGCATGAGCTAAGGGCTCCAACACCACCAGCACAACTTTGCTGGTGTCACTGTTAGCTGAGAGGTGCTGAACGTGAGTGGCTCCCTGGGTAACTGGGAGGGAGGTGGGCGGGGGGCTGCCGGCTCTTCCCTCCAGAATCCCTGCACCAACACCCACCTGTGCCTCTCCCCTCAGGCCTCCACGTATACCCAAAACCCAAACACAACAAAATGAAACAAAGGACGAACTACGGAGAATGGGACCAATTCAGTGCCTTGATGCTGCGGGACTGCAGTAAAGGAAAAAAGAAAAGAGGCTTTCTTCCTCTCTAGCAGATGTTGGAGACAGACGCCGAGGCACCACTGGGACCTTGGTGGGAGTCAAGGCCACCTCTGTGTCCCAGAGCTGTTGCCCCCGCTCCTCCCAGGGTCAGGATTTCTAGGGGAAATCAAGTCATGGCCGTCAGGGAATGCCCTGGGGGTGGCAGTCATCTGTCCGTATTCCAAGTTAGTTTGTTCTTTATATGCATTCATCTTAATCCCAGGAACAAATAACTGATTTTAATTCTGCTTAAGCCATGCCATTCACACACACACACACCACACACACACTTGCATTAAGCATGACCTCTGGCAGAATAATTTCTTTTTATCTTAGAGAACAGATTTGATATGGAACAGATTATATTTTCAGGGTAATTAAGGAATAGAAATGTCTGAGTCGTTACCACAAAGTCAACTTGTGTAAGGAGGTCTAGCCCCAAAGTGGGGCCGTTGAAATTGGGTTTGTTATGAAACAGATGCTGGAGAAGACAAATTCCGCTACACCATCACAGGACCTGCCTCCACGACGTGTGCGCACACACGAGAGGCAAAGGGAAACTCCCCGAATCCTTTCCAAAGCATCCTGTGGCTTCCCAGACGTTAAAGTTCCTCAGGCACTCCCCGTCTGGGGTGCCAGCCCCCTAACCCCGAGAGGGAAAATCTAGGTCAGATTCCAGATGCTGGGGCTGGGCCCATGGTCCATGCTGGTCTCACTGGCCGCCCTGCTGGCCACGCCAACCCCAGTCCCAGCCACTCGAGTGCCCCTGCACCCCACGCTCCTACATTCCTATGTTCAGCTACTCCGCCCACACTGCCTCCCTCCGAGGCATGGGGCCTGCCTGTGGCTCTTGCCCATCAGGTTACACAGAATTAAGGGTGCCCTCCCACCACTGAGGGACTGGGCGGTGGTGGACAACTGTCTGTCAGCGCTCCCTGGGGCCAGCTACCCCTGCCTTGGACGGGACGCCCTCGAGCTCCTGAGTCCATCCTGGGAAAACTCACAACTCGATTCCCCCCACTGCCCACTTTGCCAACCACTGGGCACCTGGCCTGGACTTTTCTTGCCACATACGTCACTGGACAATGGGTACTGTGGAATCGGAGCTCTTCAAAATTCTTTGCTGTACCCCAAAGTCAACTTGGAGGCCTGACCCATCACGACTGGCCTCCTGACACCCAGGTGGGGGTCCCCGTCCTGCCTGCTGACCTCTGGGCCTGGTGACACAGCTCCCAGCAGACCTTGAAACCTCCTGATTTAGACCCACCCACAGCCTCACAGCCTAAGGACTTGTGAAGCCAGATGAAACCCAACGCGCCGTATGGAGAAACATCACGTCTTTCGTCATCCACTGCGGAACCTGGAGTATTACATGAAAATGAGAGGCTGCTAGTGCAAATTCGACTTTCAAAGCAAACCACAGCTGGGGAGGCGGGATGTTCAGGCCCAGGGACACTGCTGAGGCCGCCAACTGTCAGCTGGCCACAGCTCACCCCTCATTTATTTCACCAAACCAAAATATTTTGGAACTCATGGTCTCTACGGAGTTTGGATTTTTGGTTTTTGCTTTGTTGCTCTCTTTTGCATCGAAGCCATTACAAAACCAAGGATAAGTCAGTTTCTGGGGAGTTAGTTACACGTAACTAATGGGGCTGCATACTGAGAATGACAAGTGTACCAGCAGATCTGTGACCCCTCCCAAGAGCGCTACTCAATGCAGGGCACAGTGTGACCTTGCATTTCCTGCGCGGGCCACACACACAGAGGCAGCGGTTGCCTTACGAGTCATGTGTGCAGGTCAGGGGCAGGGCTGGCCACGCGGGTAGACCAGCAGGATCCCAACTCAGGCGATCACAGAACACACCACGCAGAAGGGTGGGCGCACCCTGGAACCTAGATGGGGCCACCTGCAAGGGGGTGAACCTGGACATGGTGACAGGCCAACCCAGCCCTTCCTTCTCGAGAGAGAGGTGAAAGCAGGAATCTAAGCACTCTATCCAGCTCGCTCCTGGGACGATGGTGCAGGATTTCTATCAGCTGCAGACAGAGCATCGCGTCTCAGAAGGCTGGCCGGATCCTGCCTGAGCCCAGAGTCCACCCATCAGCCAGGGTTTGGGGGTGTCAGCCCCCACAGTGCCCTGCAATCTGGGGAAACTTGTACACGTGGCTTGTCTCTGAATCACCAATCTGCTTTGGACCAGACCTGTCTCTACAGTTTAGAATTAGTTATTGCTTCTAGTGACAGAAGATATTGGAAGCCCTGGTGGCTTTGGAGTCAGATAAACATGGCAGGCTCAGGGTGGCTGGGTCTGGGGGTCCACCCTG